TTATGAGTCATCCTGTAAGTTCAAAGCACTCAGGGCTTGTTCTTCAGCTTCCAAAGCGTTTGTGTTTGATCGCCCTGAAATAGAAAGAAAATAGAACAAGTTAGCAACATCATACATGATGATTTTGACTCCGTTACACCACCCCCTCTCCTGGGTGGGCTGTCGAACTCCGTCACCAACCGCCCGGTGACCGTCTCCCCGCCAGCAACGTCCAAGCCGTCGTATACGGCCTTCGCCCTACCTCTCAGCGGCGTCCCCAGCACCGCCAACTTCGCCTCCTTCACGGCCTCAAACTCCTTCAGGAAGCTCCGTAATACAACCGTCGTGGGGAATCGGATGAGGACGATTTCGAAGGGGCCATGTCAAGGCTGGTGGACTTGAACTTGATGTACGTACTTACCAAGTTCTATGTTTTAACTGACTTACTGACTGATTCTGTCTTCCTTTGTTTTCGACACAATATAGTTTGAACAATCACTTTCTTTATTTCATATTGTCTTTTATCGTTCTCAATTCATATTGGTTCTTACTTTTTTGTTTACTCACCTTATCAACTATATGTCTAGTGTTTGAATAGATTATTGGATGCACGACAACTTGGATTAAAATTAATGGCTAATGTTATATTTGGTTATACTGCAGCAAGTTTTTCAGGACGTATGTCATGTGTAGATGTAAGTTAATCCCTAATAATGTTGTATAACGATTATTTTTTTCAAACCTAGACACATAAATATTTATGCGTCATACAAATTATTGAATTCGTGAGTGATCTGAGATACTCTGCCTGGACACCCAAGCTGAAGCAGTTGGGTTTCTTAGGGAGCTAATCTCCTTACCATAAATATCTACAAGGCAGGAGACGCAGTCACATGGGAGACGGTGACCAGCAATGCGTTCATATGTTTTTCATTCTGTCAGGGTCGTTGAGCCTAGACACCCATACTGAAGCAAATGGTTTTCTTAGAGAGCCACTCCTCTAATTGTAAACTTACTAGCCTAATCCAATCAAAACTCTGTGGAACTACATTAGAAAAAAACGCGCTGTCACATGGTCGACTGTGACCAACACCATGTCCGTATACACTTCATTCTGTCAGGATAGTTGAGCCCTTGTGCATCATTGGTTAGGAGTCAGGGTTTTTTTGAATTTACCTAACTTCATCCTCCATACCCACTAACCTGCTTTAAAGCACTTGCGCCATAAGGAGGTAATGAGTAAGTGGTTGTTTACGTGTGGTCATATAAGAGGATTTCAAGAGATGGAGAGAGCGAGAGAGACAGTGGATTCTCCTCACTCACAGGTGTGCTACGGCAATCGCAGTCTGTAGAACAAAAACTCTGGATGGATTCTTAATAATATTTAGCAATTCATATCAATGATCTGATAACAAGACAATATTTTCACTATTCACTGAAGTGATTTCTAAACTTCATTTCCTCACGACACTCTATTACTTGGTGGATTGAACTTCTAAGTCAAAGTCTCATTGTGTAGAGTCCCCAAAAGGAAACTACCCATTTCTGTTTAGATGTCCGGTCAGTATCTCACATCCCACTGACAAATTCAATTATTTGTATGGCGCCAAAATATTTAAGTGTCGTTCAATTGTGCCAATGTTTATGTTTGTGTTCAAATAAATAAACAGACAGATTGATTTCAAATGTGTAAAAACACAAAACCTCCAAAACTCTGCCCAAAAATATCGTAACAGTGCTCACTAGTGACTAACTAGCTTCGTGAGGAAATTCTCGGAGTTCTAGTTGAGACGACATGACTAATGGAGTTCAACCCTGTCGGGTGTAGGCAGTAACTACCAAAATCAAATGGGCGAGGTCGCGCAAAAATCCGTAGATCAATCACCGTTGGATGTCGTCCTAGTGGTCCGATGGTTAGTCGTTTGCTCACAATACCGAAGGTCACAGGTTCGAATCCTGCGAGGTGCAGGATTCGTGCACGCGCACTGCTGATGAGTCCCATACCAGGACGAAACGGCCGTCTTTCAGTGCTTCCAGGTTTCTAATGGTGGTCTAACAATGATTGATTGATGATTTCAAATGTGTAAAAACACAAAACCTCCAAAACTCTGCCCGAGAAAGACAGGTTATGTATGTCACGTATATTTCTATATTTTCGCTGTTATTCGTTATGATATATAAATCTAATCACATGTTTTATAGTCAGATCATAAAGCATCTATTCAACTGATGATGTCATAAAGAGAAAGAACTTAAGTTTGATAATAATGATATACTGACGATGTAGTGAACGAGAACACAGGTGGGGCGACCGGATTGTATTTAACGAAAATTACAGTGTTACTCAGTAAAATCGGAAAACCATATCGTAAATCGTTCATTTGCAAAATATCAGTCCATCATATCGAACTGGACTGTTCCTGTTGCAAAACATCAATCCATTGTCACTATTCATGCGTTTCATACACAACTTTCATTGTTTTCTAACTCTTCCTTTCTTGATCTTCCCCCATCTTCTGCTGCTAGACATTACGTTTTTACTCACGTCATATACTACTTATAAGTAACTCGCACTACAAATATACAAAAAATCTTGAATGTAAACACTTTTTTGAACGTTACGAAGTCTCAAACGAAAAAAAAGTTTTTGTGAAACTCACTTTAAAGATCAAATTGTTTTTAAATTATTTGGTTAGTTAGAAACATACATTCAACAGAAGCTAAAAATCATAGATGAGAATAAACGTCAGTGAAATCACATCCCACTCTTCCTTTCTTGTTGATCTTCCCCCATCCTCTTCTGCTGCCAGACATTACGTTGACGCTCACGTCATATACTACTTATAAGTAGCTCACACCACAACGAGAATAAGCTACTTTCAAAATTTGGTTTTTTGAATTCAAAAGAGTTACATGTGTACAAGGAATAGATGATTGGATGGCTTGTAAGATATGTAATTTTACCTTAGATTAAAATTCTTCGGACATGTTGTACCTAACTATATCCGGAATGATAGATTACTGAAGACGCTGTAAATGATATGTGACACAGTTAATCCTAGACTGAAACTAGGATTAAAGTACTACAGCTTGTTTATTGAATGTACATCTACAAATTTAATTGTTCCTGTTGAGGGTAGCTACAGTGAACGTACATACTATTAGATAATTTAACCAATGAGTTAGTGAGCAATCACTTTGATTGGTTTATACAGAGTCAAACAGATTATTCAATCTAGTTTTATTTTTTTCATCTCAGTATGAGAATCATCAGCGTATCCACAACGTCTTTATGGGGTAGTCGAACCTATAACCTATGGTCTCATGTGCGAATGCTTAACCTCTGGACCACTGAATCGACTTCCATTCGTTTTAATTTCCTCCTCAAATCGATCCAAGTTAATATGCAACCTTATCGATTGTTTTCGGTTTGAAACTACCTCACACACAATCATCTCCCCAACTCTATAACGAAAATCATAATATTTACTCACTAGTGACTAGCTTTCTGAGGAAATTCTCCGAGTTCTAGTAAGAAGCAGTGACTAGTGGAGTTCAACGCTATCGGGTGCCAGACAGCTGCTCACTGAAACAATTGGTGAGGTTGCGCTATATCTTGCTTTGAGTGAAGTTATACAGTAACGCCGTTAGATTCGGTTGAAGCGTTCAGACGCGAAACCGAACATTTTGTGTTCAATTACTGTGTGCCGCAGTCGTGAGATGCGCAGTTCTGATGAACCCCGAACTAGGATGAAACGGCCTTCCAGTCAGTCAGTTACAACGTAGAACTTCGTACGTAAGTACATCAGTTCATGTTGCCATACCGCATTAGCATAGAGATTCAATTGTCAATTCAAATCCCATTGTGGTAGAGATAGTAGAAGTATTAATGGTAATGAAGAAGACTAGGGTTTGAAGATATTATTCAAGAAGTATAATTCAGTAAGATAAGGTTAGAAAGACAAAGGTAGATGTGCTGACGAATCCAGATGATTAGGATTTGAGAGAGCGAAACAATGGGTGCACTTGCGCCATTACAAGCGATTTTGAGCCATGTCGTTCAAGATCTCTAACTATCAATGACTTTCGTCTCGCGGACCCCAACCAGATAGCCTACATCTACCAACATGACTTAGTCCACTAGTCAGTGACTTCATGGATTTGTGCCATGTTTTAATCTGGCCGCCCCTAACTTTCTTCCAACCTACTCCTAATACACCACAAAACGTTGCTCGTCGTGGCAGTCGGTGGTTGGACATTCGTAACACATATCCCAACCACCTCAACTGACGAAGTTTCATCACTTCATCTATTGATCTGCCATCCTTACCTAGTACTCGTTTGGTAATGACAGCATTGCTTACTCGGTTGTCCCATGATACACGAGCGATGCTGCTAGAATATTAGTAACCTACGTATATCCTCAACTCTCACCGGCTGTGTTTCGCATCCATATAGGAAAACGGAGCAAACTGCTGCACAGTACACCCGTCCTTTAGTTTGCAAACGGATATCTCGCCTACTCCATAAATGATGAATGTTCGTAAAAGCCAATCAAACCTTCTATATCCGTGCTAAAACTAGGACGAAACGGCTTTCCAGTGCTTTCAGGTTTCTGCTGTTGATGGTCTTACAATGATCGACGCATCATTTCAATGAAATCGTCACTATGTCCATGAAAAATTATTCAGATATAACTGTGTTTTTAGGTAATATAATTTGTGTCATCAACATTTTGTTGTTACTTGTGTTTTAAACAACACAGCCCGCATTCGTATATTATTTTTTATTACAAACTGTTACTGTGTAACTTAACAATCTTCACAACAACCCCGTAATGCAAATTACCTGTGCTCACTAGTGTAACTAGCTTCGTGAGGAATCTTCTCCTCGAGTTCTAGTGGGAAGACGTGACCAGTGAAGTTCAACCTGTTCGGGTGTAGACAGTAACTACTACCGAAGACTGTGTATAAGGATGCGCAACTCCGTGAATTGATCAAATTAGACAGTAACACCGCTAGGCACCGGCTCAGTGGTCCGATGGTTATGCGTTCACGCACAATACTGAAGGTCCTGGGTCCGAATCCTGCGTGGTGCAGGAGTCGTGGATGCTCACTGCCACTAATTAGTCCCATACCAGGACGAAACGTCCAGCAAAACAGTGCTTCCAGGTTTCTAATAATGGTGGTCTAACATTGATCGATTCATGGTTCCAAAAATGTGTTACTTAACTGTTTCACTACTGTAAAAAAGTTTCACTCTTGTTATAAGTTTTTTTCTGTTTTCATTCCCTTTTCAGCTTGGTGACAGCATTGTACACAAAGCAAGAGAAATTTTAGAAAATGCAATTGAACTAGTAAATAGTGGTAAAATTCTATTGCCGGAAAATTGTAATGGTCTTGCAACACCACGTGTTGTGTATGGTGATACAGATAGTCTGTTTATACATTTAAAAGGTTATGGTAAATCAGAAGCATTCGATGCTTCGCATCAAATTGCTAAAGAAATCACTAAATTGAATCCTGTACCAATTAAATTGAAATTTGAAAAGGTTTGTTTTT